TCCATATTTATGGTGTGTAAATGTACAAGCTCAGCTACTACTGCTAATTACAGGAGCCACAAAGTAAATAGTGAAGCAGCATTCTGATCCAGTCTCCATGCTGCACTCTGCAGACCAGCAGGCTTTCTGTCTGTCACAGATGATCTGATGTTGACTTCTACCAGTTCAACTTTACATTTTCTTCTGTTCCAGCTGCTCCAGGAAAACATTGGCAGGTTTGTGAAGAACGAGGTGAAGAAGTTCCAGAGAGTTCTGGGTCCAGATTACCCAGAATGCTTAGAGAGTCAGAGGGAGGATGAGGAGATGTTGGACGGTGAGGAGGAGGAGCAGAGGAGGAGCAGCAGAGAGGCATTTCTGAAGATCACACTGCACTTCCTGAGGAGAATGAAGCAGGAGGAGCTGGCTGAGCGTCTGCAGAGCAGTAAGAGGATTTGAACAGATTTAACATGATGGAAAGAGGAAATGGAGGCAACATGGGAGAAGTTTCCATTTCAAACTCTGCTGTTAATATGATGCACACATTTGGATCAGATCTATGAATTCTTCTGGGCTGAAACTCAGAAACTGTTCACAGCTGATGAGCTGAAGAGATTTCATGGAGGAGGAAAATAAATACCATCTTGATGTCTTAAAGTTTACATTCATCAGATTTACTGTAGCATCCACTTATTAATCACATTTCTTGTTTCTTCATTCAGGAACTGTTGTTCCAGTGTGCCGACGTAAACTCAAGTCTAACCTGAAGAAGAAGTTCCAGTGTGTGTTTGAGGGGATTGCTAAAGCAGGAAACCCAACCCTTCTGAACCAGATCTACACAGAGCTCTACATCACAGAGGGAGGGACTGCAGAGGTCAATGATGAACATGAGGTCAGACAGATTGAAACAGCATCCAGGAAACCAGACAGACCAGAAACAACCATCAGACAGAAGACATCTTTAAAGCCTCACCTGGAAGAGATGAACCAATCAGAACAGTGATGACAAAGGGAGTGGCTGGCATTGGGAAAACAGTCTTAACACAGAAGTTCACTCTGGACTGGGCTGAAGACAAAGCCAACCAGGACATACAGTTCACATTTCCATTCACTTTCAGAGAGCTGAATGTGCTGAAAGAGAAAAAGTACAGCTTGGTGGAACTTGTTCATCACTTCTTTCCTGAAACCAAAGAAGCAGGAATCTGCAGCTTTGAAGAGTTCCAGGTTGTGTTCATCTTTGACGGTCTGGATGAGTGTCGACTTCCTCTGGACTTCCACAACAATGAGGTCCTGACTGATGTTACAGAGTCCACCTCAGTGGATGTGCTGCTGACAAACCTCATCAGGGGGAACCTGCTTCCCTCTGCTCGCCTCTGGATAACCACACGACCTGCAGCAGCCAATCAGATCCCTCCTGAGTGTGTTGACATGGTGACAGAGGTCAGAGGGTTCACTGCTCCACAGAAGGAGGAGTACTTCAGGAAGAGGTCAGAGATGAGGAGCAGGCCAGCAGAATCATCTCCCACATCAAGACATCACGAAGCCTCCACATCATGTGCCACATCCCAGTCTTCTGCTGGATCACTGCTACAGTTCTGGAGGAGGTGTTGAAGACCAGAGAGGGAGGAGAGCTGCCCAAGACCCTGACTGAGATGTACATCCACTTCCTGGTGGTTCAGTCCAAACTGAAGAACGTCAAGTATGAATGAGGAGCTGAGACAGTGGGTCCCTGAGTTCAGGAAGTCTCTCCACAGATAAACTCTCTCCTGCTCAGTGGTCAGCTCTGGTCTTCATCTTACTGTCATCAGAAAAAGATCCGGACGTGTTTGACCTGAAGAAATACTCTGCTTCAGAGGAGGCTCTTCTGAGGCTTCTGCCAGTGGTCAAAGCCTCCAACAAAGCTCTGTAGGTGGATGTATGTATGTGCAATTTCAAAAATGCTCAATTTTATAGTTGACAAATACAGGGCCAGCCAGTGGCATTAGCGACATGGGCAGTTGCCTATTATGCAAAATGGTGCTAGTCAACTCTGCCAAGCTGATGCAACACTGCCGCACGCTGTGATATTAATCAAGTGCATCTTGCGCTGTAAGTCCAGATAGTTGTGATGAGTGGTAACGTAGCTGGTAGAATTTGTAAACATCTAAAAACTGAATATTTCTGAGGATCTATCGACAGAAATGCAAAATAAGATCCATAATAATAATATGTTTTCAGTGTTGTGTAAAGACCTTACATAATAAACCATTATGTTGTTATTACCTTAGATTGAGCCATTTATTTCTACATAACCGTGCCCCCCCCTTCCATGGACATCGCCATGTTGCATCGTCTTGTTTCTACAGTAGCTGAAAACGGTCAAACAGCGCTACACAGCGTGATTCATTAACTTTCTTTTTCTACTTCTGGTAGAATTCAGGCAGAGCAGACACTCATCACTATGTTGAATACGTACATTAGAAGAAGAAGAAGAAGAAGAAGAGGTAGTAATAATATACAGCAGGGGTTGGAAATAAGTTTTGCATCGGAGGTAAAGTGCAGGACTCGCAACCCAAGGACTGAGGGTTTAATCCCGCCTCGGGGTAATTTTTCTCTCTTCAACAAGTGGATTCTGCAGCGAATGTTAGAGCACGGCATGTCCTGCACTGTTTTTGTGTCTGTGTTTGATCTGCATCCATCAACCTATGGACGCTTTTTCATTTCCCCAGTGTCTACAAGCAGAGGACATTTAGCGGAATCACGTTTTCTGACAGCTCTTTCAGAGCTGTGTCAAGCAGGCTACAGAATTTAATTTAGTAAAAGCTAATTTCAATTCTAATACTGCATTACAGTGCGGAGGAAGAGATTATGTGAGTAGCTGTTGCTGTCATGACTGAGATCTATTTCAGTACCGCCATCAAAGCATTTATTTATTTATATTTTTTGCCGCTATCAAAAATAATCTGGCAGCGAGCCAGATATTATTGCTGGCGGGCAGTTTTGGCGATGGTCCATAATGACTAACGACTAACTAATGATTAACGTGTTTCCCTTGTCAATGTTTGTATAAACTTTATCTAATGTGTGGTTTTAGTACCTAATTGACCTAATTGCATCATCTTGTCACAAGATCTGACGTAATTGCTGACGTAATCTGCACTCTGCGCATGCGTTGGCGTCTGTAGCCACCTGTCGGAAGCTTCGTCTTAAACCGGACTCTTATCCAGTTTTAATCCACTCTTTTTCGTTACATTTTTTATATCGTTTTTATTTAAACTTAAGTTTTTAACTTAAGTTTTACGTGGGTTAAGGATTTTAGTCACCCGACATGGATTTTAAGCTAGATGACCGTAAAAACGCGATCAACGCTACTGATCGCAACAAAGCTCCGGTGACTATGCTAGCCGAGATAACTCTGCCCCATGAGGACTGCACACTCCTTAAGAAAGCAAACAAGAAGATTGCTGACCTTATGGAAGACATCCGACGACTTTCAGAGGAACTCAAAGAGAAAGATTCCCTGCTGACTGGCTTTATGGATGTAGCTTCAGTACAAGCCAAACAGATTGTTTCTCTTAGCGCAACCGCTAACATCCAGGACACCGTCTTTTGGGAGCCCTCTAGTCTTCCCAGGCTTTCATCCTGCTCGACTCCAAAGCATCAGTCAACCTGGGCTGAAGTTGTGGTCCGTGGCTGCAAGAGAGGCTCGGATGGGGCTGCCTCTCCTCCGCACATCGGCCTCTCCAACCGCTATGCAGCCTTGTCTAACGACACTCCGGTCCATCCAGCGGATTCACCTGCGGCTTCGAGTCTCCCTGATACGGATCTCTTTCGGCGCACAGCGCCTGCCGACACTGTTGCATCTCCTCCACCGGCTACATCCTCCGCTTCCCAATGTAGGATCCTGAAGGAGGCTGCGCTCAGATGCTCCGGAGGCCGTCTCTACCCTGCACCGTCGGGTAGTCCTTCTCTCAGGTCTGTTACTGCTACTCCAACACAACACTCGGCAGCTCACACACTCCATCCTCAGGCCGCAAGCAGTGTTGAAGCAGATTCTGCTCAGTCCTGCTCTGGATCCCCACAACCAGCATCTCCTCGTCCTCTTTTCTCCCCAACCACACTAATAATTGGTGACTCCATAACCAGAAACCTCCGTTTCTTTAACGCTACCACTCACTGCTTCCCCGGTGCCACCACGGCTGTCATTTTAAAAAACTCCAGGACCTGATGCCGTTGCTCCCGTCCTCCATCACAAGAGTGATAGTCCATGTCGGAACAAATGACACAGCTCTTCGGCAGTCTGAGCTGACAAAATTAGATTTTAACCGTCTTCTTAACTTTTTAAAGCAGTGCGGAAAGTCCGTTTTTATCTCTGGTCCCATTCCCACAGTCGGTCGCGGTGCTGGCCGCTTCAGTAGACTCCTTGGCCTCCACGACTGGCTCCAGTCCGCCTGCAGGGCTCATCGTGTGTGTTATGTGGATAATTTTAATATTTTCTGGCAAAGAATGTCTCTTTTTAAGACAGACGGACTTCACCCAAACAAACGGGGCTCAGAAATGTTAGCTGCGCACATACAGCATGTGGTGCGGTCCACACATGACTTACGTGAATGACTAATCATTCATGCAGCACACCTGGACACACCACCGCTCACTGAACAGATCTCTACCTCACTGCCACAAACAACTGTCTCCACCTGCTGGCATGTAAAGCCGTCTGCTCCCAGCGCTGTTCCACAGACTTCTATTCCTGTCATCATCACGCATAGACCAGTAAACCGAAATGTGCACATCCCACACAGAAATATTAGTAATCTCTTAAGGATTAGGACAACTGCACCAACTCCAGCACCCAGAACAAACACATTTAAAATGGCTCTCTTCAATGTGAGATCACTTTCAAGTAAGACTTTTATCTTAAATGATTTTATCTTGTCTGCAAATCTAGATTTTATGTTTTTAACTGAATCCTGGTTGCAAATGAATGACTATAGCCAGCTAGCTGAACTGTGTCCGCCTCAATATGATTGTTTTAGTCAACCGAGGGTCAGTGGTCGTGGTGGTGGGCTAGTGAGCGTGTATAGGAAAAATAAAATGTCATCAAGTACGCTGTGATGAATTTAACTCCTTTGAAGTTCTCGCTCTTAAAGTTGGAGGGCTGCATCATATTTGTTATAATTTATCGCCCCCCAAAACCGCCTGGAGGATTTTTATCAGAACTTCCTGAATTTTTATCTACTCTGGTTTTAAATTATGACAGAATTGTTCTTTGTGGCGATTTTAATATTCATGTTGATGACCCCACCAATGTTAATGCAACTGACTTTTTAAATATGGCCACTTCTTTTAACTTCAAACAACATGTCAAAGGGCAAACACATAACCGTGGTCATACACTGGACTTGGTTTTTACCCTGGGTGTCAGCATTTCCTCTGTGGAATTAGTGGACATGACCATATCTGACCACAGATGTATTGTTTTTAGCTGTGATTCGCCTGTTACTCATGCCGCCTCACCAAGCTCCGTGTGTTTCGCATCTTTAATGAACAAAGTGTTTCAAAGTTTTGCGCATTCTTTCAGAGACAAAGCCAACACCTGTCTGATTCCAACACCAACAATCTGGTCGATCACTTCAATCATATCTGCTTGTCGTCACTAAATATTACTGCTCCTCTAAAGGTTAGGCCTACGTCTAAAGCTAGTAAGCAACCCTGGATAAATGACAGCATTCGCAGCCTAAAAAGGGAATGCAGGAAAGCAGAGCGCAGATGGAAAAAATCCAGTCTCCAAGTCCATTACCTCAGTCTGAAGGATTTATTAATTAACTACAATAACATGGTTAAGGATGCGAGAACACATTATTTTTCTGAACTCATTACTACACATAAACACAATCCCAGGTTTCTGTTTAAGACTGTGGATCAGCTGGTAAACCCAACCCCTCCTTGTGCCTCAGCTGGAAGTAATGATGACTGTGAATTATTTTATCTTATTTTACCAATAAGGTGGTGTTAATCAGAGCCTCTATTACCCCCGGCCTCTTACTCAGAGGTTCCTCACCAGCAACAACAGAGTTTTAACCAGTTTTATCCCATCGACTTGTCTGAGCTTTTAAAAACAGTATCACAAATGAGAGTGTCCTCCAGCCCACTTGATGTAATACCTACAAAGTTTTTACTGAAAGTAATAGATTCTGTTGGGCCCCATTTGATCTCTGTTTTCAACAGCTCCCTATCTACTGGTTGTGTCCCTGATTATTTTAAAACGGCTTGCGTGAACCCACTTTTAAAGAAACCTGGTTTAGATCCCTCCCTCCCACAAATTTTAGACCAATTTCAAAACTGCCTTTTATTGCAAAGATTCTAGAAAGAATTGTGTCCAAACAGCTGCTCACTGTGCTGGAAAATAACAAATATTTGAAAAGTTTCAGTCTGGTTTTAGGAAGTACCACAGCACTGAGACTGCCCTGCTTAAAGTCACCAATGACCTTTTAATGTCTGCTGATGAAGGTATGTGCTCAGTCCTGGTACTCCTGGACCTTAGCGCTGCTTTTGACACCATTGATCACAACATCATGTTAGACAAACTGAGGCACTGGGTGGGGATCTCTGGTACTGCCCTAGAATGGTTTTCATCCTACCTGTCAAATAGGAAATTCTGTGTGTCTGTAAACAACTATGTCTCCTCATTCTGTCCAGTTAAATATGGTGTGCCTCAGGGGTCGGTCTTAGGACCCATTTTGTTTTCCTTGTATCTGCTTCCCCTTGGACATATTATCCATAAACATGGCATTTCTTTTCATATTTATGCTGATGACACACAAATATACTTGCCAGTCAGATCCACAGACCCTGGAATGCTGAGTTCACTTAACAACTGCCTTTGTGAAGTTAAAAAATGGATGTCAAATAATTTCCTCCAGCTGAACTCAGACAAAACAGAAATCCTGGTCATCGGGTCTCAGCAGATGGCAAATCAAATACTGCCATCTGCTGGTTCCCTAGTAAATCACATTAAGCTGTGGCAAAGAACCTTGGTGTTTGGTTTGATAGTAATTTAAATTTCGAGCAGCACACCACAAAGCTTGTTCAATCATGTCTTTATCAACTTAGAAATATAGCAAAAATTCGATCTATGTTAACTTTTAAGGACACCGAGACCATTTTACACGCCTTCATCTCATCACGCCTGGATTATTGCAACAGCCTTTTCACCGGTTTAACCCAAAAATCTATTGATCGACTCCAGACTGTCCAGAACTCAGCTGCCAGGCTTTAACCAGAACAAGA